AAAACATGCCAATGTAATGACGGATTTTATCATTCCTCTATTTTGTTTTATACAGTCAATTTTATTAGATTTAATCACGGTTTGCCTATTCCTTGGTTTGTGTTTTGCTTTCTTGCAAATCAGGCTTGGCTTCTGGACATTTTCCTTCTTTTGAAACTATTTTTTTTTTTTGTATTTCTTTAATGACAGCCTTATGGTAATTAAGGTTTTATTTTTCTGATTATTTCCTTGTTTTCTCCATATTCTGCCAATAGCATTTTCTTCAGCGTGGAAGTCTAGGATGACAGTTGTTTTATGTTGAAATTGTAATTTTACTGGTTTTGAACTGGGTTCCATTAGAATTTCAAAAATCTTGTGTCTACTTATAGCCTGTTATTCTCTATATGATTTGCTAGGATACCTGAATGACCAAGTTTAGTACTTTAAGTAGGCAGAGTCATGGTCCCCAAAAGATGCCCCTGTCTTAATTTCTAGAATCTGTAAATGTTTTATGTTACATGACAAGAGAAAACAGAAGTTGCAGATGGAATGAAGGTTGCTAATCCTTGAGATGTTAGGGTTATCGTGGGCCCAACATAAAGCCCAGGATCTTTTAAATTGAAAGATGAAGGCAGGAGAGTTAGTGTCAGGGTCGAAGAGAGCTATGCTGCTGATGTTGACGATGGAAAAGGAAACAGTGAGCTAAGGAACGTGGGCAATCCCTGAAAGTTGGGAAAAGGAAGGAACTGTTCTTTCCTAGAGCCTCCAAAAAGAACCCAGCCCTGCAGAGTGCTCAGTTCAGCCCTGTGAAACCTCTTTTGGGCTTCTGGCTTCCAGAGCTCTAAGATAATAGATGTGTGTTGTTTCAAGTTTCTAAGTTTCTGGTAATTTGGAAATGAAAATAGTCATACAGAAACAAAGGAAATTAATAAAGTAGGCTTTATCAGTTCTGGAAAATCTCAACTATTTTCTCTGCAAAGTTTTTCTACTCGATTCTCTCCATGGTTTATTCTTGAAATTGGTTTAATAAATGTTATGTCTTCAGTTTTGTCCTAATTTTGCTAAAATCTATTATTTAATGTTTTTCTACTTTTGTTCTGAGTTCTGTATAATTTATTCAGATATGTTTTTACTAATGTTCTCTTTATAGGTATCTAATGTGCTCTTTAAAATATTCACCCAATTTTTTGTATGTTTACATTTTCTAGAGTTCTCATCTTTTTTCTTTTTTCTCTATAGAATCCACTATATATGTGTGTATGTGTGTGTATGTATATAGATAGATATCTAGATAGACAGATAGATATGCATATCTATATAGGTAGATAGATATACATACCTATATATAGATAGAGATAGGTAGATGGAGAGATGATAGATAGATAGATAGATAGATAGATAGATAGATAGATAGATAGATAGATAGGGAGAGAGAGAAAGAGAGAGTCTGTTGTCCAGACTGGAGCATAGCCCACTGCAGTCCCGTCCTCTATGGTTTAAGCAAGCCTCACACCTCAGTTTCCTGAGCAGCTGGGACTACAGGCACAAGCTACCATACCTGGCTAATTTCTGTATTCTTTGTAGAGACGGCAGTCTCACTACATTGCCCAGGGTAGTCTCGAACCCCGAGGCATAAACCATTCTGCTGCCTTGGCCTGCCAAAGTGCTAGGACTACAGCTGGCCTACATGGTCATTTTCATACTCTCTCTCTCTCTTTTGAAATACTACTGACAATTTCATTTTTTAGTTTTCAAACATACTAAGTAAATGAATTTTCATTTAATTCAATGCTAATTCTAACACTGTAGTCTGAAAATCTGGTTATGCAGTTTGTATTTCAAAACAGTCCCACTTAGGGTTTCCCATTTATTCTAGCGTGTTGTTTTCTTGTTATTTTCTTGCCGCCTCTGATTTTTGGAACCTTATCTGTGTCAATGTTTTGAAACCTAGGCTTGAATTTAGTTATGTCTCACAGGAATTATATTTTCTTATTTTCATTATTTATGAGTACAAATCAACCGAGGATTAGCTTATATTTTAGTTTGGGTTTTTCTAGAGGGGAATCCACGAAGTTTTTTTGACTGACATTTCAAACCTTCACAAAAGTGGGCTTGGACTGTAGTTAGAAACTTTGAGAAAGACATTTTCCTTCAGAACAATGATTGAGAAAGTAGCTATCTCCACCATCTACAAAGAGGGTGTTTTTGTTGTGGTGGTTTTGTTTTCATTTTTCTGTTGTTAACAGTGTTGGCTTTGTTTCTTCTCATGTGTCTGTGCTTTCTGTGAGAATGTCTGATCAAGCTGCCCACTTCGTGCTGGCCCTAGGTTCTACATCACATGTGTTTCACGGAATCCTATGAAGACAAAAGTTCTGGGTCATTAGGTTGGAAGATGCCACCACAAGCAAACAGCAGTTTTGGTGTCTGTTTTTCTTACTAAATTCTCACTTCTATGTTGTTTATGACCCCAGAATTTTTCTTTATTTTCTTGACACATCTTTGCTGACACAAGGATATTCAATGTTTTGCCCTGGTGTTTTATTGCTTTAATAAGGAAGGTTTTATGGAATGTAGTTCACTGTAATGCTAGAAATATCTCCAAGTTTATATGTTTTAAGCCAAAGTAGAATGAGAATCACATTCTGAAGCAGTTTCTGAAGTCTTTCTCTTCTAATCACAAAAGTTAGCAATTGTTGATTGTGGATGCTGAGTTCTCTGCATTTAGCTTTTTTCCCCCCACATCAAAAATTTTTATTGAATGAAATTACATAAACTCTGAAATTTGTCTCAAAATTATTTGAGTGTGAAGAAAGTGGCTGAAGTGCATATGAAACCAGAGTGGACACAGTGTATGGCCATTGCCAAAGGTGGGTGACGGGTATGTGGAGATTGATCGCATGTTTCTTTCTCCTTCATGAAATAAATTCAAAATTTCCATAATAAATGTTTACAAATAAATAACACATCTGAAATCCTGCTCTGAGTCCATGATTTGGAATATAAAGAATAGAATTCCTTTTCAATTTAGTAAATAGAACGAATCATCTTCAGTATATTCATCATTTAATATGGTATCTGGCATAGTACTTAGTGATTATTGATGAAAATAAAGAACATTCTAAACACCCAGAAACACTTGAAAAATATCAACTTTTACATACAAATATGAAAAAAGGCTTGAATATAAAACATATTAAAAAACTGTAATTATCCAAGATTAAGCCCTGAAAAGTAGAGCTGGACTGTTCCTTAACTTTTTAATCCTTCGATCTTGGACTTTATTGAAGAACTACAAGATGAAGTCATTACTAATTAGATATAGGGTTTTAGTGAAAATATCACGTACACAATTTATAAAAATGACTAGACATCAGTTTTTCTATGGCAATAATTATCCTTAAATGTAGTAGAAAATGAGTATCAAATATACTGAGTGTTGAGTAGATTATGTTCTGGTTTAACGAGGTACTCTGTTTTACTGAACACAGATTGAGCTGCTCAGGAATGAGTGTATCTCAATGAAGCCACGGTAATTGGTTCTATATTGCATTATTTCCTTGGTACACATTGACCAGTAACCGTGTACTATAGGAATTATCGCACTTTATTTCCCATAATTACATTTTACTCCATATCTTGCTATTTAATTATATCTCGTAAGTGTTTTTCTGTATGTTTGTTAAAACTTGCAGAATAGGGCATTTTACACTTTAAAAATAAATATTTGTTTTGCAGCTCATAGGCAAAATGAGTGCATTTCAAATTATATGATTATTTTTTCATTATACTGATTATTCCTTCATCAAATCATTCATATCTTTTACTGTTTGTTCGTGTACAAAATTAACTCTCATTACAAAAGGATTGTCAGAAGGACTATCTTGAATTTTTATTTCAGTAACCTGGCTTTCCTTCCTAGCAGGCAAAAAAAGTAATTAAAGGTCAAACCTAGTTTAAAGTGTGTTCTAGTCTGATCATTAGACAGTTGGTCTCCAGTAGATGAACATTCTCGCACTCTGATTTTTTTCCTTGTAATTGGTAGCTGGTTTCCAGAAGGAGGTGAGTAGTTGATGTGATTAGTGGCCTCAGATTTTACGGCACTCCCTCATTTCCAGGTAGCATTCTTTTCTGACATGTTGTTGACTAAGTATAATCCTCCTCCTGCCTCCTGGGCATGGCTTGTGCAAGAGGAGTCATTGATGTCTGTCATCTATGTTTGGTGCCACTCGTGAACTGCTTCCTTTTAATTTGGAGTATGCTCTAGGTGTGCTTCTTGGCTTCCCTGGATCACACCTTACTTCACACAAGTGTTGTGGCTTCCTCTGAATTCTGGCCGGGACTCCCATTCCATTCCTGTCCAAGCAGCACAGTTCCCATCCCTAACTACATTCACCTAACTGCAGTCAGCAAAGCATAACCCCAGTACATCCCACGTGGGAACTGGGGGCAATATAGAAAGACGTATCCCAAATCTCCCTCTGCTTGTCCTTGTTGCAGTGCCTTGTGTACTTTGCAGAGATTGTTCCCCAGGCTGGTATATAATTGCCATTGAAGAAGCCACCAACTCAACGTCTAAAATGTTAACCTCAGTTGTACAATGTATTTCCTTCTCTCTGGACATCAGGAAATTGAACCACCTCCATCTCCTCCCTTTCTTATTTACTTTTATGGCCTCTCCATTTATATATAAAAAAAATTCTATTCGTGTTTTACCCCTACTTCTATGCTGTCTCTCTATATTGTGGGAGAATTCTAAGGGCATATATCATTCAGTGTGGTTGTTGATTTACAAAGTTGATGAACAGGCAAAGAAAAATGGCAGTCTTTATCCACACAATACAGGAGCTTGCACAGCTATTCGTTTTGCTGCAAATCATTCTGCACAGCAGAAACTTTTTATTTGTGTTTCTTCTATAACATTGCTAATCTTCTCTGCAGGCAAATGAACTGCCTGGGGCAACTAGGCTTAAAGTGATGCATTAGTAAAGACATTTCACAAAGACACATTAATACTTCTCCATGCTTTTTTTTATTGAATAACGTGTGTTGTAAATCTGTTGTGGTTCAGTTTTGTGTTAAGAAAGTTCATACTGAAGAACAGAAAATAAGAAGGGATAAATAATGTAGAATAAGATAAACACTAAAATGTAGCAGAAATTTCTGTGTAACTTACGCATTGATATGTCTCAGAACAAAAATGGAAGCAAGTGGAAGGACATCTGCCCAGCAACTGTCTATCCAACCTTGGACTGACATCTCCCTTATTATTGCTCCTTGTGGCTAAGAATAGTTGTTTCACTTTAAAACCTTTCTCTTGCTTTACCTCCCTGAGTACATCTGACATGTTTCATTTCAATGTTCAATACTGAATAAACATTATTTTCTTTTCAAGAGCCTTTCTGTTCATTATTTAGGTTTGACACATATACTCAGTGTGTCAATGAACAGAAATCAAGATTTCACAGTTCTTGATCACTTTATATTTCACAAACATTCGCTTTACTAGAGCAACTTTTTAAAATCAAACTTTTTTTTCAATTTTCTAGTTCTACTCTGTCCTATACAGTAGCAGTAGAACACTATTCTATGGCCAGTAAAACTGAGAATTTCTGAAGATGTGAAATATGTACTGGTTTTCAAATGCTTGGTATAAAATAATCATGTAAAATATTTCAGTAATTTGTATAGTATCTATTTGTTGGCATAATAATGTTTTAGATATTTGGGTCTAAATAAAATATGTTACTAAAACTAATTTTACCTTTTTCTTTTGCTTTCTTAAATATAGTATCAAAATATTTCAAATTACCTACGTGGCACGAATTTACAACTTGTATTATTGTTTTACTAAATAGTTCTGCTCTAATATGTTAATTCTTATAATCATGTTACCTAAATAAAATCATGCTTTTGCTGGGATGTGTTGGACAATCCTTTATGCAAACAAGACAAAGCATAGTTGACATTAAATAAAACAGTTAAGCAAAATGCTGAAAGAATAACCTTAGTTGGTTGCTTTAAAAGAGAAATAGGAATCATTAAACTTTTGATTCATTTTTTTCCCCCAAGATGGCAGATTAGAGGCTTTTAGCATGCTTCATCCACCTGGAAATAGCAAAATAATGCATAAAGATCAACTCTGTGAGCTTTAAATCAAGAAGAAAAATGGGAATAAAGTGGAATGAAGGACACCAGATACTAAGGAGGAGAACATTGGAAAATGGCGTCTGGCTGAAAAAAGCAGAAACCCAGGTAGATGAAGCACCTGCTTTCCTGGACAAGCAGCTACCTGAGCCACCCTAGATCATGGAGCCACCACATAGATCATGGTGCAGCAGGTTTATCTCTGCTCCACATCCAGGCAGATCTCAAAGTATTTCAAGGACCCATTCACCTGGTTCAGCAGCCTTAGCCATCCCACCTTTCCTAGACATAAATCATGGTGGAGTGAGACCTGCTCTCTCCACACCCAGACTGATTTCTAGGTGTTCGAAATACTTGCTTGTCTGGTTCTGCAACCTGAGTTTCCCCATACCTCCTGTGCAGAGATCTTGGTTCTGGGGCGAGGTGGGGGGCCTTTCTGCTGCTCCAAGACTCATCCAGCTGTTGTTTTCAAGAATCCCATCTCACATATAGTAGCACCCATAGGCTCAAAGTAGAGGATTGTAGAAAGATCTACCACAGAAACAGAAAACAGAAAAGAGCAGAGTCACTATTCTTATATCATATAAAACAGACTTTAAACCAACAATAGTAAAAAATAAAAGGACAAAGAAGGGTGTTTCCTAATGATAAAGGGTTCAACTCAGCAAGAAGATATAACTGTTTTAAACATATATGCACTCAACATCCGAGAACCCATAAAATAAATACGTCTAGAACTACAGAAGACTTAGCCACAAAATTATATTGGAAAATGTTAATACTCCACTGTTGCCATTAGACAACATATTGAGGCATAAAGCTAACAAAGAAATTCTGAACTTAAACTTGACATTTGACCAATTAGACATAATATAAATGTACAGAAGAATCCACCCATCAACCACAGAATATACGTTCTTCTCATCTGCACATAGAACATATTCCAAGACTGAACACCTGCTTGGCCATAAAACAACTATCAACACATTTTTTTAAAGAATCAAAATCATATTAACCAAACTCTTGGACCATGATGGAATAAAAATAGAAATTAATATCATGATCTCTCAAAACTACACAATTACATGGAAATTAAGCAACTTGCTCCTGAATGACTGTTGGGAAAACATAAAATTAAGGCAGAAATCAAAAAGTTATTTGAAATAAACAAAAACAGAGATACAACATTCCAAAATCTCTGGGATTCAGCAAAAGCAGTGTTAAGAGGAAAGGTTATAGGGCTAAACGCCTACCTCAAAAAGTTAAAAAGTTCTTAAATTAACAATCTAACATCACATATGGAAGAACTAGGAAAACAAGAGCCAGCTAACCCCAAAGCTACCAGAAGAAAGAAATAACCAAAATTAGAGCACAGCTGAATAAAATCAAGACCCCAAGATTTATACAAAAATAAATAAAACCAAAAATGTGTTCTTTGAAAGCTTAAATAAGATTGATAGACCACTAGCTAGATTACCAAAGAAAAAAGATAAAATCCAAATAAACACAATCAGAAATGACAAAAATGACATTACATTAGGTCCCATAGAAATGCTAAAGATTTTCAGAAACTATTATAAATACCTCTACACATACAAATTAGAAAATGTACAGGAAATGAATACATTCCTGGAAACACACAATCTCCCAAGATTCAATGAGAATGAAACTGAAACCCTGAGCCTACTAACATTGAATTCAAAATTAAATCACTAATAAAAATCTCCCAATCAAAACAAGCCTTGGACCAGATGGATTTATAGCCAAATGCTACCAGATGTACAAAGAGAAACTGGTGCCATTTCTACTGAGACTGTATCAAGAAATGGAGGAGTGACTCCTCCCTAATTCATTCTATGAAGCCAATAGCATATTGATACCAAAACCTGGGTAAGACACAACGAAAACAGAAAACTATAGGCCTATATTTGTAATGAAAAAAACCACGAAAATCCTCAACAAAATACTAGCAAACTGAATCCAATGGCACATCGAAAAGCTGATTTACCACAATGAACTAGGCTTAATTCCTGAGATTCAAGGTTGCTTCAACATATGTAAATCAATAAATGTGATTCACCACATAAACAGAATGAAAAACAAAAACCATATGATCATCTCAATAGATGTGGAAAATCTTTTGATAAAAATAACAAAAAGATACAGTGCTTCTATAACCTTATTGGGCTTATGAATCATGAGGATCTTGTAAAAATGTAGACTCTTAATCAACACGGTTTGTCTCGAGTGGGGCCTGAGTGAGATTCTTTATTTCTAACAAGCTGTAGATGATGCCAACAGCGTTGGTGCTCATTGTTTATGGATGATACTGTATGGGTCACATGGCTTGAGAAATAAAAATCACTTGAGAGCATTTTGTGCACATAGTTGTGGTGATATTAAGCTACAACTACTGTATTTAATCTGCAAAAACAACCATAAATTATTCCCCTCTCATCAAGAGATGGAGCCTATTTTTCCATTCTTTGAGACGAGTTCACCATGTGATTGGTTTTGATCAAAAAACAACAGCAAGTTGCCACATGATGAGATCTGAAAGGTATCTGAGCACTGGAACTTCATCTCTCTTTCTTCTCTTACCTTCCGTCACCCCCTAATTGCACCTGAGCTATCCCGTTGGAGGATGAGAGGCCATGGGGAAGAGAACCCAGATACTCGCCAACAGGCTGCTAGCTGCCATCACCGTGAAGGAAGCCATCCTAGCTTCACTCCAGCTAATTTTCCAGTTGATCACAGGCAGGTGAGCAAGCATAGTGGCTCTCAGTCAACCTGGTTCATGCAGAAGATCTCCTTAACCAACACACAGAACCATGAACTAAATAAAATCATTGCTGTTTTAAAAATAAATAAATATATAAATAAATTTTTGATTAGAGAAAATTAAATATGAACAATTTAATTTTCTTTTAATTATTTTAATGTCATACATATTTGTCTTTAAACAGGTATATATAATTGTACATAATTGCATGAAAAATCAAATTATTTATCTTTTAAGTGCTTTTATGATTCACCGTTCCTATCTTCATTAACCTATCTTCATCTTCACAGCATGTCAGCAAAATGAACAATCTAATAAATAGTCATATTCTTTTATGCTCAACTAGTCATATATATGCATATATTTTCATATAATATGTGCATATATTTGTGTGTATATGTGCATGCATATATACTTGTCATTTTGCTTTGTATTAAATGGGTTTCTATCATGCATACTTTTCTTAGTCTTTCACTTTCCACTCATACTTTCTTGTTGACATCACTTCAAGTCAACATGTAATACTTTGATTTCTTGTAATTAATGGCTGCAGAGTATTCCAAGATGTGAATATAATGTAATGGCAATATATTCAAGTGTCCCTCTATTGACAGGCAATTATATTGTTTCTGGAGGGTTTTATTTAGGGGGGGTGCTTTTTTCTTTTCCTTCGTCTTTTGATTATATTTGCTATAACAACCAAGACTTTCACAAATACCCCCATATATATTGCACTTTGGACTTGGACTTTTATCCCTACAGGAGACGTTTCCAGGAACGGCATCTGTCAACAGATTTATACCTAATGCACACATGCACACACATTATAAAATGTTATTAAATAAAGATCGTCATTTTGCATTTAAAAATAGTATGATGATCTGTATTTCTATGGTAAGAATAAGGGTACGTTAATATGATACATATATGTGCATAAATGTGAATGAGAAGAAGATAATCCTGTTTTCAAGTTTTGCCAATTCAGTGATACTCTTTGTAATACTCTTTGTTACTGTAATCACTGTTTCTCAAACTACTAGTGAAATTGGACATTTTTGTTTACTTGTTTGGCATTTGTATTTGCTCTTCTGTAAACTGGCAACATAGAGCAGCAATACTCAATAGAATTTACAAAATAGGTAGAAATATTATATTAAATGTTTTAAGTGGCCACAAATGTCCACCAGTTGTCATAGTGGGCTGTATAGATTTAGATTTTCAATCTGATTTTTAATTTTTTTCCTGTCAATTTTAAAGAATACTTTCCATATTAAAGAAATTAACAGTTTATTATCACTCCTTTTTAAAATTTTACTTTAAGTTCTGGGATACATATACAGATCTGCAGATTTGCTACACAGGTATATATGTGTCATGGTTGTTTGCTGCACCTGTCAATCTGTCATCTAGGTTTTAAGCCCCACATGCATTAGGTATTTCTTCTGATGTTATCCCTTCCCCTTGCCTCCCACCCCACCAACAGGCCCTAGTGTGCAATGTTCCCCACCCTTTGTCCTTGTGTTCTCATTATTCAACTCCCCCTTATGAGTAAGAACATGTGGTGTTTGGTTTTATGTTCCTGTGTTAGTTTGCTGAGAATGATGGTTTCCAGCTTCATCCATGTCCTGCAAAGGACATAAACTCATTCTTTTTTATAGCTGCATAGTATTCCATGGTGTATATGAGCTATATTTTCTTTTCCAGTCTATCATCGATGGGCACTTGTATTGGTTCCAAGTTTTTGCTATTGTAAATAGTGCTGCAATAAACATATGTGTGCATGTTTCTTTATAGTAGAATGATTTATAATCCTCTGGGTGTATACACAGTAATGGGATTGCTGGGTCAAATGGTATTTCTGGTTCTAGATCCTGGGGAATGGCCACATTGTCTTCCACAATGGTTGAACTAAATTACATTCTCATCAACAATGTAAAAGCGTTCCTATTTCTCTACATCCTTGTCAGCATCTATCGTTTCCAGACTTTCTAATGATCGCCATCCTAACTGGCATATTACCATCACTACGTTTTTTAACATTTAGTTTTAAAATATTTATTACATTTTTAACTTCTGAAAGGGGTAAAGTAATATTTTTTAATATCAAGTTTTAATTTGATATAATTTAATATCAAATTTTTTATCATTCCATTTTTTAATTTTCTTAATAAACTTTGACATGATTTCACATTTTTATAAACATTTAACAAATAGGGTGAAAAAGGAGATAGTATCTTGATAGTGCTTTATTATTGTTCTTCAACCATATAGACTATATTTTCAAACTTGGCTTTGTATTTCAATATTTACTATTTAAAAAATACTATAGTTTTCAAACATCTTCTTCCATTCTGTTTTTATTTTTAAAAAGTAACCTTTGTTTTTTATTATATTATTATATTATATTATATTATATTATATATAATTTTATTATATTATTTTTTATAACAGGGTTTCACCATGTTGGCCAGGCAGATCTCGAATTCCTGACCTCGTGATCCACGCACCTCAGCCCCCCAAAGTCCTGGGATTACAGGTATGAGCCATCGCATCCAGCAAAAACTAACATGTCTTATTTGCCCACTTTAGTGGTTTGCATCTGGCTACTTTTACTAAAATGTAAACATTAATAACTTGTTAGGATTTTAGATGAAGCAATATAACTATAATATGAAAAGTCAATGTTTAGTCCCTCAAATGTCTTCTTTGGCAGTTATATCCTATATATACTAGGATATATAGAATATAAAAAACAACCTCTGGCCAGGTGCAGTGGCTCACACCTGTAATCTACTTTGGGTGGCCAAGGTAGATGAATCATCTGAGGTCAGGAGTTCAAGACCAGGCCTGGCCAACATGGTGAAACCCCGTCTCTACTAAAAACACAAAAACTACCTAGGCGTGGTAGCACGTGTCTGTAATCTCAGCTACTCAGGAGGCTGAGGCAGGAAAATCGCTTGAAACCTGGAGGCGGAGGTTGCAGTGAGCCAAGATCCAGCCATTGCATTTCAGCCTGGACAACAAAGTGAGACTCTGTCTCAAAACAAAAAACAAAGAACAAAAACCTGTGATTATATTTCTTGAGAAATCAAACCACCATCTAAGCTAGAAACTCATGTAACAGATTGCTAGTACTAAATTGAGGTTATATGGTGTAAAAAATATATTTTCAAACATACAACTGATCGGAAATATTTTCTGTAGCATTATATAACTGGAAGTTTATGCAATGAAGGCAGAACAGATTCTGATTTAATCTCTTCTAACATACAGTGAATTTACATGATTTAGTCAGTTATGAAGAAGTCATATGTTTATTACAAAAAGAAGCCATAAAAATAGGATAGTTGTAATTTTTTTTCACACCAAGAATGGGATATGCATTCACATATATAAATGCTTTCACATTGGTAGCTTTCACATATGCTACCAAGATTTTACTTGTGCAGAAGACACAATATCACATTTTTTCTTTGAGAATGTAATTCATGGTTGATTTGACCACATAGTCTAGTTATATCATTTGAGCAGAATAATTGTTCTTTGTTTATTTTGAGTTAATGGATTTTAACATTTATCTCACATTTCACTGTTGTTTCAGTAACAAAATTAATTTTCTACTTATAAAATTGATGCTTCCTTATGACAGAAAATTTAGAAAACGTTAAAAAAGAAGTAAAAATTTAAAACTAGAAAATAAAAATACAGAAAAAAACACAATGAAGTAAGCTTCAACTTTCCCTTGCCCCTCACAGAGATACATTTTTTACTTATAGAAAGTAAATAGTGTAAACTATTTTAAAATATTTAATATATTATCATGTAACTCATATCTTTGGCAACACAGTTTTGTTTTGCTACATGGTATTTCATACACCAGCAAACCAAGAATGCCAAATCACCTTTCCACTGGTGCTGTCATTCACAGGTGATATATTGAAGGTTCTACCCATGTCTGCAGGTTGGAAATTGCAGTTCTTTAAACCTGAATGCTAGGTATTTTAGAGCAATATGGATTGCAGACAAATGTAGGTTAAAGTGCTATTCGCCCAGAAAATTAAGATACTTCTGGAGCCGTTACTATTAAATATACTATTAGAACTATTTTAAAAATATTTTGTTAGAATAATACATAATCTCTAAATTGTGCATGTCTGAGACAAAGGTTAATGTGTCAAAGCTTCTGGGCTACACACTTATTCAGGTTCATTTCAAGTCCCTTTACCTGTGTTTTTATTGTTAATTTTTTTTCTTAAAGTTGGTTGTATAAATAAATTAAGCTGTAGGCCCATAAAACCAGGATCTATCTCTGGTATCAGTTAAACATCTTTTTTCTAACTTTTTAGCCTTAGAAAACAATGCTGTCAATCAAAAGTCTATAGACTTGATTGACAGCATTGTTTTCTAAGGCTAACTATGAAAATATTAGTCTTCTCTGATAGAAGCTGCATAAAACATCATAAGATGGTTAAATTTTTGTAGATCTTCTATTATATAAAAACAATAATTTATTTAAACATACTTTTTAAAATCTACTTTGCTCCTTTTTGCTTAAAATTTTCTTTGAGGACATTTAAAAATTAAATAGGTAAAGCATTTGCATTGAGTATGCAAGCCCCAGTTTTACATTCATTTTCTCATTCATATGTTAATTATGGATATCTATGCTCTATGAAACAAAATGCTAGACATGGTGCATGCCAGTTGACCTATTAAATTACATGCCCCATTTGAGGGATCAGAAAATACTATTTTTCTAGCTCTATTGCTTGTATGTAAATTCCCTGAACTGTCTACTTGAGGTTTTCTTTTTTTTTTTTTAACTGATTCTTATTTGCCCTCACTCAATGTTTTTAATTTCCATCGTAACCCAGAGTTATTCTCTGGAATGAAAAAATTATATTAAACTCCTCCTTTGTTTACAAATGCTGCTCTATATAATCGTGAGAGAAGTCTGAAAATGAATATGAAGTAAAAGTTGATTTGTGGCAACTAGAATGGCTGCTTTATGCACACAGTCATTTACCTAACCAGTAAATAAGCAAGGCACTGTAATGTTTAGGAATGTGGGCTTTCAAGTTACATGGGGGGCAAAATCGTGGCTTTACTGATAACTAAAAATTTGACCCTGGACAGGTTAAGTCCTCTAAATTTAGTTGCCACATCTGTAAAATAACATAGGGGTGTGTGTGTGTGTGTGTGTGTGTGTGTGTGTGTGTGTAAAGCTGTAGAGAAAATACTTTTATGTTTTGGCACAACTATGCCTTTCTACACAGATTTTACTGAAACTTGAGATCTGAATTGAAAGCCAGTTTTTGGAGGCAACCTACAACTGTAAAGGTAATGAGAAGTCCAGAGATGCTCACCCAACCCCTGAGTTATGTGTGAACATTTCACAGGAGGTGGCAGGGGAGCATTGCTGAGGCTCAGGACCATGGAGAGTGGCAGGGGAGCACAGCTGAGGCTCAGGACCATGGAGAGTGGCAGGGGGGCACTGCTGAGGCTCAGTACCATGGAGAGTGGCAGGGGAGCACCGCTGAGGCTCAGAAACATGGAGAGTGGCAGGGGAGCACTGCTGAGGCTTAGGACCATGGAGAGTGGCAGGGGAGCACTACTGAGGCTCAGGACCATGGAGATATCTCTTAGTTGAGAAATTGAAGACATAGGACTTACCGTGTTTCCAAAACAGACTTTCTCAGAAGGGAGAAGAGAGATAGTTGCCTTACTCCCTGTTATAAGCAGATACAATTTATTTTCTTCATTCCTTGCTTACGATACGGACTCTGTGTGTTTAAGATATTTGCCTTGGCTTTCATCACAATGGCCCTGGGATAACAATGGAAGCACAGGGGAATCACACACTTGTTATTTGCTGTAAGTCATTAAAAAAAATCTGTCTCTGATTCAAAAACCTTGTGGGTGCATTTAGAACACAATCAATAAAGACGAACATTAAACACCTACCAATTTGTTGTGATGATTAAATATTTTGATACATGGCAGTGTTATTACACTGGTGCAAAGTGCTCGATTATTGTTTGCTACTATTATATCTGGCTTCTTTTAAATTCCTGTGAGTGCAAGGTGCTTCCAGGTGCTATGTCACAGTATACCTGATAGAAAATTGAAAAAAATTACAGGATTATTAAAATTTGTCCACATTCTTTATGTCATTTCAGAATGTATTCATTCTCACAGAATGAATACTCACAGAAAAATGTCTATATGTCATTGATTTAAAGTATCATTTTTATTCACTTATTTTCACAAAACTGGGTGCTTCTCTGTGAGATTGTAACGTGGGTCATTTAATTGTCAGTTTCAATATTTACAGGTATAGAGATGTTGAAAACAAGTTAACTTAATTTCAGACCTTCATGTTACAATTGCTTATATCAATAACATATATGCCAGCAAGAATAGTACGAACGTTTTCTTAAGATGTAGCTCATATCATTAAAGTACAAAGGGAAAATATGGGACAGTCATGCACAGCTGTTGTTTAAACACAGAAAGAAATCACATTAGCAATCAGAACATTTTAACATCTAAAAATGGTTCCACGATAAATTTAAACACTTCTTTAAATACCCCATGCCTTTGAAAGTGATAAAAGATAACTTAAACAAATGAACAATTAAGGGAACTTGGGGTCTGAATATAGATAATCACAGCTACACCAAAAAATAAATCCTCAACTTTTATTTGTAAATAAAATATTCAGTGCAGTTCTAACTTAAGCATACGAAGTAAAATAAAGCTCAGTCTTCAATTTTACAACTGAGTTTCTAAATGTAATCTTAGCCCTGTGGGAAATAACATTTTTCCCCTCAAGGACTGAATCTCAGCTGGTGTGGGTGCCAACACTGACTCTGGGACAATGCAGAGGCAGAAGTGGGAGGGTTTCTTGTCCTTGATGTTATAGCACCCATCTGGCATCTACTGAGACAGCCATCGGCTTCTTTTAGGGTTGGGCGATTTATCATTTGGGGGTGGACTTGGATCTCTTGAGGATCTGTACCCCATTCTGCCTCCCAGGAGAGAGGGTAATTTCCTAATTCCATGCCACACTGCAACCGGGAAATTCTGTCCATCTTTCTGACTCTTACTTAATTGAACTCTACTTTAAGCTCTGAAAACTATTCTGCTGCTCTTGTACACTGCTGGATTAAGGTGGAATATTTCAGGCCTCCTTTTGGTCCATCTTTTGGAATAGAAACCCATGCCATTCCTCTGTAAACTGTTCATCTCCCCAAGACTCCATCCAAGGTGTCATTCACATAAACACCCTCCATTCTCAGATCGCACAAACATTTTTGTCTGTTCCAGCTCTCCTTACTCCCCAAGTCCACTTCAGGGCTGTGTTTTTCACAGCTCTGCGAGGTCTACACAACTCCCATTGGCCGCTGATTCCCTCCCTTCCATCAGCCCAGAGAATCATTAAATGGGTTGGGGATGGGGTGGTGAAAAAACTGCACATATTACCTCAAACCTATGAAAAGACACCTTTTTTTTTCTTTTCTTCTATTTCTAACTTTTCTCCAGAAAAAATAATATAGTGTTTTAGCTGACTACATGGTGAAAGGGGCATCGAGTCCTTTCTACTTTTTTCTACTTTCAGCGCTTTCTACTTCAGGCCTTTCTACGCCTTGGCCTGAAGTAGAAAGAAACAGGAGTGGAAACAAGTATCAGGGAGAATTGTGACATTAGAAAGATTTGGCATGACCCCCCAAACCTCACCATGTTAGCTAATGCAATTTTGGCCCTCAAAATGTCACACAGAGAGATGGCTAATATTTCTGGGGTTTAGTTTGTTAAACAAGGAAAATAGGACCCCATATTTTAAAGGGGATTAAATAAATATTTAATATAGTATGAAAATGTATTTCAAAATAACTGTCTCAATATTCAATTAAAGTAGTAATACTGATCACTAATAATCATTAATTATAATACTATAACAATATGGGCTTATTAATTGTGATCAATGTATCAGACTAATGAAAGATGTCAATAACAGGTGAAACTGGATGTGCTGTATATGGAAACTCATGGTACTATCTTTGCAGGTTTCCTGCAAATCTAAAATTATTCTGAAATTAAAAAAAATGTTTTTTAACTTTTATTTTCAAGAGAAAGGTGAATTTGCATAAACAGAATTATTGTTCAAAGTTTACATATTTTGTACGAGACAGTACCCCAAATGAATTTTTTCCCATAATTGAATCAATGATAAGAAATAAGTTCACCACCAGAGAGGAGTTATGCTTTCATGCAGATTTAAGTTTGGATTTCAAATCAAAACTAAGGTTATTGAAATGGTCAAAAAGAGCCTCTTTTAAGAGTTTGTGGGTGTATTAGTCCACTTTATCCACTCCTGATAAAGATGTACCTGAGGCAGGGAAATTGATGAAAGAACGAAGTTCATTGGACTGCAGGTTCACAGGGCTGGAGAGGCCTCACAATTCTGGTGGAAGGCAAGGAGGAGCAAGTCATGTCTTAAAAAGACCTTGTGCAGTGGGAACTCCTCTTTTTAAAACCATCAGGTCTCATGAGACTTATTCACTATCACATGAACAACACAGGGAAAGACCTGCCCCCTTGATTCAATTACCTCCCACTGGGTCATTCCCACAACACATAGGAATTCAAGATGAGGTTTGGGTGGGGACACACCCAAACCATATCAGTAGGCATCTTTTTCAATTTCATTTCTCTCATATGAAAGGAAAAAATTCCATTGCCTTATTTTGTTTATATTGATCTACATAATCCTTTTTCTTTTTCCCATGCATTATTATATATGGGCTTTAAAATGTGAATAGTAGTTGAGAGAAATAGTCCTCAGGTGTACCTGAGCCTCCCAGATGATATGTCAAGTATCAGATTCCTGCTGTCAACCGTGGACTCAGGGGACTCTTCCCTTGAAGTCTCTTATGATTTTTCTGTGATACCTTCCCAGAAAGCATGCATTTATTTCTCCTGTCAGCTAGAATCACTAGAGTTTTAAATTTGTGAATTAAACATGACTGATTTTTCTTTTCAGAAAAGATAAAAACTATGCTAAATAATTCTGCCATGTTTCGTCTCTGGGAATTTAACAGGATCAAGTCCCGGGAAGGAAATGAATTATAAATTTGGTAAAATGCCATTTGTTTTAGAATCTCTAATTTACTTCATTTAATTGTGAGGCTTTTTTCCTCCCATAATTAAATAAATGAATAGAAAGCTACACATAAAAATTTATTATTATTCAGAGTTTTGTGCTTTAGGATATATTTAAAACAAAAAAAATAGCTGTCTACAACCTCTAGTTTTACTAATGAAAATGCATCCATTTTCTGGTTTCTGGTCGTTTTCTTCTGTTCTGAAAATTGTTGCTTAATTATCCATTAATTGTTTGATCAATAAAATAATTAGAAATTTCACTTTGTTTTAATCAGAAATGTTAAAAATCTACCTTACTTGACTGGCAAATTGATGTGGCAGACATAAAACTTTACATTGCAATTGCCCACTATTATAAAACTTTACATTGCAATTTCCCACTATTAGCTTCACAGCATTTGTGTTTTCCAGACAGCTATTTTCAGGGTATTTTGTAACAGCAGAATCTTGACCTGTTTAGAAATAGTTGGTTCAGCCAGTATTAGCTGACACTAAATAAAGAAAAGAAGAAAGGTGAGGGGAAGAGAGGGAGTATAAATAAATACATTTTTAAAAAAGCTAATTAACTTTAAGAAACAGTGCTGGAGATTTGGTGGGTCTTCGGCTACATATTCAAGAATTTAAAAAGAATTTATCAAGACTTGCATTTCAGGTCAGAATACAGTAAATGTTTTCAGCACCTCGGACAGCAGGTAAAAAGCCCATTAATTCTGAGACAAGAAACAAACAAAAGAAATCCTATGAGCCCTTTAGATTTGTGTTTTGAGAAAGCTTCCAGGCTGTGGTGTAGGAAGAGAAAGCCCAGCAGACACACTGAGTTAAGGAGAGAGAACTGAGAGACAAAGAAGACCACAGTGTCTCAGTGTTACAGAAAAGAATGTGGAGGAAGAAAGAGCCAGAAGGGTAGAATTCCAGAGATCTGCGGAGGATTCCCATTGAGTGTTCATCTGATCAGCAAATGTATATGGGAAAAGGACTTGTGGCCAGGGAAATAAGCCATTAGGAAGAGTATTCGGAAGGGTAATAGAGCCCTGCACTTACACAGGGCCATCAATAGTGCCTGTTCACGCCAGCCAGAATGGAAATCCCATGATTCATGGGAGAGTGCATTGAGTTTGCAGAAGGGTCTTGCCTCACTAATGGAAAAAATTTGGCTTTAGACTCAGTATTGTCCTGTTCCTGCCCAACAGTTATTAAAACCAATATCTGAAAGGATCAAACTGTTTATAAGCAACTTATGTCCCAGAACACAGGCCTATAATAGGAGTTTAAAATCCTCCAGCATTGAATAAGGTAACATTCACAACTTCTGGGATCCAATAAAAAATTACCAAGCATGTAAAGAAGCAGACAAATATGTCTTATAATGGAGGGAAAATCTTTCAATCTTGACAGATGTGAAAATTAACAGACATTAAAATAGTTATTATAACTGAATTCCATGTGTTACAAAAGTTAAGTCCAGACAGAAAACATATGAAAAAAAGCCAAACCAAAATTGCTACAAACTGCAATGTCTAAGATACAAAATGCATCGCATTATACTAAGAACAGATTAGACACTGTTAACAAAACAGAGAGCTTAATAGCTAGTGACAGAAATTATCCAAAATGAAACACAGAGATAAAGGGCAGCTTTTTCCCCCATTTTAATCCTTTCTAAGTATACAGTGGAGTGGAATTAATTGCACATTGTTGTGCAACTATCACCTCTATCTCCGTAACTTTTTCAGCATTCCAAACTGAAAGTCTGTAACTGTTAAATAGGAATACTTTATTCTTCTTATCTCCCTACCCCCTGTTAACCACTATTCTACTTTCTCTATTAATTTGACTATTGTAGGCATCTCAGATGAGTGTAATCATAAACATTTATCCTTTTGTGTCTGCCTTATTCTACTTGGAATAGTGTCTTTGAGGTTCACACATATTTTAACTTTCATGAGAATGTCGTTCATTTTTTAAGATTGAATATCAATGTTTGTACACAGCACATTTGGGTTATCTATTATCTGTTCGTGGACACCTGGGTTGTTTCTACCCTTTGGCTGTTGTGTACAATGCTGCTACGAACATGAGTGTACAACTATATGTTTGAGTCCATGCTTTCAGTTTTTTGGGTTATATGCCTCACAGTGAAATTGCTGGATTATGTAGTACATCTATGTTTATACTTTTTAGGAGCTGCCATATTGTTTTCTACAGAGGCTGCACTATTTTACATTTCCACCATATATACACAAGAATTTCAATTTCTCCACATCCTCATCAATACTTGGTGTTGCACATCTATTTGATATCTTTTCAATGAATGATGTTAGAACAATTCAATATCTCCATAAATAATAATTTCAATCAATACTTCATACCAGGAACAAACTTACCTAAATTTAGTCATAGATCAAAACATAAAATCTAACACTATAAAACTGTGGCTGGCATAATAATTCCCTCACAGGCCAAAAACTGCTTCTAGAACCTGGAAATGACATTCAATTACCAGCCAGAAAGGATTTGGGGATCTCAGTAATATAATTGCAAGGAATTGATTTCTTCCCACAATTCAATAAATAAGGAAACAGATTCTCCCCTACAGTCTCCAAAAAGAAACACCATCATCCTGCTGACTCCTTGATTTAGTTCAGTGAAATCCGCGTTGGACTTCTAACTTAGAGAACTGTAAAATAATAAATAGATGCTACTTAAACTACCAAACCTGTGTTCATGTGTCATGGAAGCAGGAGAAAACTAATACATCATATGAGCCAGCAATCTTACTCATGTATATTTATTTATCCAAGAAAAATGAAACACGATTTTTACAAATAGCCTATACATGAATGTCTATAGTGGCTTCTTCATTCATAATTGTCAACAACTAGAAACAAATGTCCTTGAGCTGGGGGATGCCTAAAAACTGTGGCATAGCCAAACAACAGAATACAATTCAGCAATGGAAAGGAGCAAAGAAAAAGAGGGTATGATTGTAAGGTACCTTAGTTCATTTAAAAGAGAAATTAGTTCTTTTTTCCTTTGAATAATCAGTGATGCAGTAAAGTTGATGCTAAACAGATGAAATATTCTGGTGAGATATGAAATCTCTGCTGCCTAGGACAATTACATCAAAGATAATTAATAACCTTTATTACTCATTGTTAAGAACTCTGAGCTCAGCTCACAGTTTTAACAATGCAAAACAGCAAAGCTAAATTCTGGTTTTGCATTGGTAACATATTTGGTAACAAAGTTTCACAAACATTTTATTTCTTAAGAATGACTGAGCCAACTCTGGCAAAATTTAACACGTGTCATTCCTTCTTTTCAGATTCATTATTTAAAGCTATTATAAATGAAAGCAAAGAAACATTTCCTGCCTGTGTACCTTCTGCAACTTCTTTATCCCTTCGGTCTTTGTCAGCACCCTGCATTATTCTGGGGATCCCAAACCTTACAAAGGGTGTAAAAGTACTCTTTTTTCTCTTTTGAAAACAAAACCATCATAATAGATTGCATACACAGCTATATGTCTCTGTCACTATAGCTTCTAATAGTCTCAACCATCAATAATAATTATAACTTTGACCCAAATAACTTACATATAGTTTACAAAATAAAACTGGTACTTAGATAAATTAAGAACTTTCTGTAATATATTGTTATCAAAAAAAGCTGGTCACCTTAGCACTTCCTAAGAAACGTGGTTTACTTTGAATGGGGGACACCTGTTTGGTATCACAAAGCCAATACATAAAACCACAAGTGAGTATCAAGCAGTGAAGGCATTATTTGATGGCCATAGAAATGAGAAGGCAGCCATGGCTCATAAATGAGCTTCTCGACTAGTGAGGGGTAAGGGGATGAAAATGTAGGGCTTCTCTAATGAAGGAGTTGGACATTAAAAACAAGAGACATAGTATTTGTGTCTTTTCTGGAAATGAGTGGTGAACTTCTTGGAACTGGAGTGCTGCCTCCTTTTTGTCCTTTTATGGCTTCTTTCAGTCATTGCCATGGTGACTGTCAACTGTGATGGCACTGGGGTGTCATTAAGCATGGAAATGAGATTATCATGAATCCTGAGGTCTTCTTAAAGTTGTTTGGTCAGCTATCTTGATTCTAATGAGTCTCAGCTACTTTGGTTACAAAGGAAACTTTTGATCACAAGTGTCTTGTTTCTTAAAGATAGGCAGGGTAGAAATTCAGCTACGTCACATAGGCATGACATTGGGTAACAAGACCATGATTTTACAGACTAGCAAAACTTCTGACACTTATTACGCAACCCCCCCACACCTCCGCATATCACATTTACAACATGTTTAGTGACATGACCCAAAGACAGAGTCACCTTTTAGTGGGTGTAAGAAAAAATGTATGTGAGCTTAAACAGTCCATAAGAAGCACTTCCTAAGAAATGTGGTTTACTTTCTTCCATTAGATGAGTCCAATGGGCTTCTTTGTTAACATGCTAAAACTATTAATGTGTAATTTTAAAATATGCTTTAAAAATGATATTGTAAAAATATGATGATCCAATAGAATATGATGTGAGCAAAAAAAGAGATAAGTGTATGTCAACAATTTATTAAATTCATTAATTAAGGGGACTAATAAGATATCAGGACCAGTTCAAAAAGTAGTTGAGAAACTAGATATAAACAGTCAATGAAAGGATAAAATTATTGGGTCAGATACAGAACTGATTAATGTCCCCAAAAGGCCATACATACAATCTTTGAGGTTATCTCCAGAGAGAAATCATTTTTATCTCTAACAGACAAAACTCTACAAGTTGACATGTAACTTAGTGCAAGACCTTTAATCAATATGAAACTGAATTGAGTGGTGACTTGAACATTCCCCTGGCCTTCAGCTTCATATGGCATTAAAAGAATGTACCACACACATTTTTTTTGCTGCATTTTCACATTTTGGACAACACTTATGCATATTCATATCACCACCCCAGCAGCTGTTGAAAATTTACTTTCTTTGGAACCCTAATGGGATTTCTAAATATGTAAATAGCACAATCAAAAGATGCCTGAGCCTGTGAATCAGCGCAGCTCTTTCTCATACCTTTCCCCCATTCCACACCCACACACCAAAGTCTGGATCTTCCTATCAGCCTCAGTGTTTCTTCTTTTCCAGGAAAACACATCCTAATACAATAATAAGCATTGAATTAGATAAGCTCAAGTCCTATTTTTAATACTAAATAACCTCATCATCCTTGACAAATTATTTTATTCTCTAAATTTCAATGTACTTCTTTTCAATATAAACTTGATAATCCCTATCATATAGAGATAGTGAGGATAAATAAAATCCACATTTGCTGTTCTTTCTGCAGGGAAAGCTCTTTGCCCAGTTTTTGCATTGCTGATCTCATTTCTCCGTCTTTAGCCAAGTCATTTCTTGGTGAAATTAAATAAATATTATAGAGTAGAATTTGCTGAGATTATGAAAATGTTCTGTATCTGTGCTGCCTAATACAGTAGCCACCAAACTGATTGTTAAATGTTACTGCATTTTAATTAGGTAACCACACGGGATTAGTGATAACGCACTGTACAGTGTGTGTTTTGAAAAGGGGCAGTAATTAGGAAGAAGAAGAAAGCATAATGGTTTAAACATCAGGCTGTCAAATGAATGGTTAATTTGTAAAGTTCAGAGTTAAATAATCGAGGTAGAGAAAAAAACAGCAATTAGGTCACCTGATAGACATAGTTGAATATATAGAGTATAAGATCACATTCACTAATTGAGTAGAAACTTTAAAAAAATTATGTCAAGCTCTACATTTGGGGAGGGTACGTGCCTGGTTCCTGGGAATTTTGTGAATTCAGTCTTCCAAAATTCTTAGCTTGTCTATATTTATGATTCCCCCCTTTTGTTTCTTTCTTCTCCATCTCTCCTTTTTAGTTCCTTTGCCTGACTGCCTTTAAAAAAAAAGTTTAGTCCCAAAATAACTTAAACGAATTCTTTGGACTTTGTTTTGTCATTCTCGTTTTGCAGCTGCTAAGTATTAAATTGTCTCAGCCAGCTGAGGATGTCTAAACTGAAGGTTATGTACAGTATTATTTCACTTGAATGTGTTAACAGTTCAGCTAAAATACTAAATTTACATTCGGGATAATTAACATAAACACAAAAGAGAAGTCACTTAAGAGTATGAAAAATAGGCCAGGCACAGGCTCATGCCTGTAATCCTAGCACTTCGGAAGGCGGAGACAGAATTACTTGAGCTTAGATGTTCAAGACCCGCCAGGGCAACATAGGGAGACCCAATCTCTACAAAAAATAAAAATATTAGCTGGGTGTGGTGGTGCACAATTGTGGTACCAGCTACTCAGCTGGCTAAGGTGGGAGGATTTTTTTGGGCACAGGAGATTGAGGCATAGTGAGCTATGACTGCACCACTGCACTCCAGCTTGGGTATCAGAGCAATATCCTGTCTCAATTTTTAAAAAATGACATATAAAAATCTTGGTTCCAGAAGTAGCCTTTATTTCAAACCTTTTCTTTGTTTTCCTCCACAAAACATTCAAATGTGAGATCAAATATTTTAATTCTTGATTCTTGGTTTGGAAAAATGCAGACCCCTTATCCACAGTAGTGATGTGGTTATATGCCAATTTACCCTGTTAGTAAAGTGTAAGATTTATAATTCATTTTATTTTATATATTTACATATAGAAATACATTATGAGAATTTGTGTTGTCAGAATTCAAATATTTCTGGAAACACACTGAAGCAGTATTTATATCAATTTAAGAGCCTTGATAAAAACAGAAAAATTCAGTTGCCTGTCATTTAAGAAAATGTAACATCATAAAGATACAGCCTAAAATGTGTTTAGTCAAAGCAGTGCCACATTCATTTCTTTACTCACCATCTACTGATTGGGCGGTCACCGGGCATCAGAGACCCTGTTATGTGCTGGGGATGCTGCAAAGGACAAAATAGTATTTATTTAGACTCCTATTTAATTTACTTCTTTATTATTTAAAACATATGTTTGTTGTGGCTCTGTTTACAATAGCAAGGCCCTGGAACCAACCCAAATGCCAATCAATGATAGGCTGGACAAAGAAAATGTGGCACATATACACCATGGAACACTATGCAGCCATAAAAAATGTTAAGTTCATGTCCTTTGTAGAGACATGCTTGAATCTAGAAACCATCATTCTCAGCAAACTGACAGAAGAACAGAACACCAAACACTGCATGTTTTCACTCACAGGTGGGTGATGAACAATGAGAACACTTGGGCACAGGGAAGGGAAAAATACTCACTGGGCTGGGTAGGGGCGTGAATGGGAGGAGGGGAAGGACAGCAGGCTCAGGGAGGATGGGGAGGGATAACACAGGGAAAAATGCCCGATGTAGGCAATGGGGGCAGTGTGGGGGATGGAGACAGCAAACCATCATGGCATTTATGTACCTATGCAGCAATCCTACAGGATGCAGGATGTGCACATGTACCCCAGAGCTGAAAGCACAATAACAAAAAAATCACCTGGAATGTATTAAGTGACTCATGTTTCTTAGAAACATAGAAACACATTCCTCCTCTTGCCCACATGGTGTAGCAGCAACCTGTTTTGATTTTTTGTCTCCCCAGCCCTTGACTTTTGTTTTTGTTTTTGTTTTTTTTGAGAGAGTGGGAAAGAAAGTGGTCATTTGTACAAAAGCTACTTTCTTCTTATTAGGCAAGGATCCTTCCCCAAAACTAAACCATCCTTATAAAACTAATGAAAAGTGTCCAGTTTAGGAGAACAAGAGGGAAATGACTGCCTAAGGTTGTTCCAGAGGTCACGAGATTTGCAGCTTCCTCAGTTACAACCATCAAACTCTAGCTGTTGAAGTATTTGCTAGCTTTAGTTATTTATTTAGTCATTCTTTAACTTAACAATTAAATTATAAAGCTACCTAATAATAAGAGTTCTCTGCAACCCTTATGTAAATTGATGAGAGGAAAGAGGTAGAAAAGCTTAGTGTATAGATGACAAGTAGATAGACGATAGATAGATTAGATAGATTGATTGACTGATATAGATATAGTGATAAATGATAGATAGAAACTCATATACTCAGAACATACATAAAGAGAAAACAAGCAAGAAAATGGTACACACACAAACACGCATGTATCAAGCAAGAAAGGAATGGTTCACAGTAGGTGCTAGGTACCAGCCTCTGTAAATGAGTACTCACAGCTTCCTTCTTTCTCTACCTATTCCATGTATCCTCTGCCCCCTCCTGGCGCTTCAGATCATGGGTTTCTTTTTTTTATTGCATTTTAGGTTTTGGGGTACATGTGCGGAACATGCAAGATAGTTGCATAGGTACACATGTGGCAGTGTGATTTGCTGCCTTCCTCTACTTCACCCACATCTGGCATTTCTCCCCATGCCATCCCTCCCCAGCTCCCCCCACCACTGTGCCTCCCCATTCCCCCAAATAGACCCCAGTGTGTAGTGCTCCCCTCCCTGTGTCCATGTGTTCTTATTGTTCATCACCCACCTATAAGTGAGAATATGCGGTATTTCATTTTCTATTCTTGTGTCAGTTTCTATACCCAGTGCAATGATTGGAGGGCCTGGATCCTAACAGGCTCTGTCGTGCTCTCCCTGCTATAGCTTTCTATGGACTTTTCCTACATGGCATGGGAATTTGAGCCGTGATTCAGGGAGCCCCTGGATCCGAGACACATTCCTCCCCTTGCCCACATTGTGTAGCAGCAAGCTGTTTTGTTATTTTGTCTCTCCACCCCTCAAGTCTTTTTTGTTTTTTTGAGAGAGGGGAAGTGGGCATTTGTACAAAAGATACTTTCTTCTCATTAGGCAAAAGAATGCAATTGCTTTAATCATTACATGGAGTTAAAAATACATGTGGAAAGTTAAATATGGACGCTGAGTATACAAAATGGTGGATTGGACTGGCTATTTGGATAGTGTGCTTGTATCTTTGAAACCACCTTTGCAAAATCATAAGAGAAATCTGACACAATTGATTCCATCTTGCTTCTAACCTTGACTCTTCCCTTGGTCATTTCTGGGCGTGGGCCAAGTTAACTTTGGAAGAAGTTTAGTTTGTAGTTTAAATAATAGCAGGCCTTCCCCCAAATTAAACCATCCTTATAAAACTAATGAAAGGTCTCCAGGTTAGGAGGATGAGAGAGAAATGACTGCCTGCCGTTGTTCCAGAGGTCACAAGATTTGCAGCTTCCTTAATTACACCTATAGAAAACACCACTGCTGTAGAACCTAAGATTGGCCATTTGAGATGTCTTTTCAGGCCTTTGCCTTTCTGGCTACCAGATGGCCCCACTGGGACCAGCAACTTCTCTGGGGGTTCCTACTTAGGAGCTCACTCAGCACACAAGAACTGCTTTTCACACCCCTACCACTGTACCCCCAACCAATCAGCATTCTCCCTTCCCTAGTCTCCTGCCCACCAAACTATCCTTGAAAAACCTTAGCCTCAGAATTTTCAGTGGGATTGACTTGAGTATTAACTCCACCTCCCAGGTAGTGTGGCAGGCTGTACATCAATTAAACTCTTCCTTTACTGCAATGCCATAGTCTCAGCCAATTGACTTTGTCTGTGCAGCAGGCAAGAAGGACCCCATAGATAATTACATCCTCCCCCTCAAACCATCTCTCTATTCTCTGCTCTGAGATGCTGGGGGTGAACTGCAAACTATGCTTGGTTGCCAGCAGGCTTTCTGTCAACATATGCCGACTGGGTGCTAGGGAGGGAGTGGGAGGCAGGAGGCATAGGAGGGCTTGCTGCTTCCCAGGTCTTAATTTTCCTACCAGGTTTGCCCCAGTCATGACCCTTCCCTTTGGAAGCATTTTTGGGTTTTTTTTTTTTTTAATTTTTTATTGGATTTTAGGTTTTTGGGTACATGAGCAGAGCATGCAAGACAGTTGCGTAGGAACACACATGGCAGTGTGCTTTTCTTTCCTTCTCCCCTTCACCCACATTTGGCATTTCTCCCCAGGCTATCCCTCCCCACCTCCCCCTCCCACTGGCCCTCCCCTTTTCCCCCCAATAGACCCCAGTGTTTAGTACTCCCCTTTCTGTGTCCATGTGTTCTCATTTTTCATCACCCGCCTACGAGTGAGAATATGCGGTGTTTCATTTTCTGTTCTTGTGTCAGTTTGCTGAGGATGACGTTCTCCAGATTCATCCATGGTTTTAATAGCAGCTGGTTCTAGGTCCAGATACCTTCCTTAATGCCAGAATTGGCTTCTAGGCTACCAGCCTAGAGGCACCTCTCTTTCCTCAGAATTCTGGGTTCCAATTCTGTGACCCTTGTCTGAGAGACTGAGGCTCCAAAGGCTGTTGAGAAGTACTTCTTCTCAGACGTGTAGATCCCAGCTCAGCAAAGCCTCTTCCAAGCTCAAAACACTCCAGCACCAGCCAGGCAATATCTCACCTAAGACATCGCAGACTCAGTTCACAGGACTCTTCAGCCAATGTTGTAGGTTCTAATCCCAAGCTCATCCCTCTTTTCCCAGCTCTTAAAGTAATGTCTCACTCCAATAATGCCTCACTCACCAGTTCCTTTAAGTCTTCTGGTCCTCTTATACCTGTTTAGTCAATATCCTGTATTAAATTCTCTCTGATAAAAAAAAAAAAAAAACAACTGTTTTGCTTTCTGTGGAAACCAGAAACCTGATCTTGACTCCAAGCTCTCAGTTTGAAGCTCATTCGTTAAAGCAGTATTCAATCAGAAATACATCTCAATTATACTGAATTGCCCTTACTGACACTAAAATGCATCATAGTTTTTCTGGTATTCTCTTTGGAAATAATACTGACTTATGGTAGTAGAAATTATGGTCCAGCAGATGAACTTTTTCTTGGATTGTGAACAGCAGATAGATAAGTAACATTTTTTTCTTAGAACGAAATAGATTTCTAACAATAATGTAAGCTTGATATCACATTGAGTTTTAGAAAAGAAAAAACAGTGAGACATTGCCTAAATGTAGTACCATATGAAGTAGACCTTTAATTTTTTTTCTTTTTCTTTTTTTTCTTTCTTTTTTTTTTTTATTGGAGTTGTCAGTGGGATGGGAGAATCACAAGGAATCAGGTGTTCAGAGGAATGTATTTAGTAGAGGTGAGGAACTAGGATTTTGAAAAGTAAAAAAAAGAGAGAAGGAGAGGAAGAAAGAGGAAGAAAAAGAGGGAGAGAGAACAGGAATATTGCTTCATTCTAAAAATGGGTATTAATAATGGCCAATCAATATTTTGTGTATTTAAAATGGAGAACTCTATAAATATTTATTGAGTTTACTTGTTCCAGATCTGAGTTGAAGTCCTGGATATCCTTATTAATTTTCTGTCTCGTTGAGTCTAAATCTCGTTATGGGTCTAATGTATCTGGGTATTAAGATCTCTTATTGTTGCATTGATCCTTTTACCACTGTATCTTTGTTGCTTTGAAATCTATTTTATCAAATGTGAGAATTGCTACTCCTGCTTTTTGTTTATTTATTTATTTTTGCTCTCCATTTGGTTGGTAAATTTTTCTCCAAACCTTTGAGTCTTTGTGTATCTTTGGATATACCGTCAGGTTTTGGCTGTATCTTTAGATTGGGGAATTTAGTCGATTTAAATTTAGGGTTACTGCCATTTGATGTTAACTGGCTATTTTATCCATTTGTTGATGTAAATTTTTCTTTATGTTGATGCTCTTTACTTTTTGGTATATTTTTAGAAAGGCTCATACTGGTTGTTCCTTTCTATGTATAATGCTTCTTTCAGAAATTCTTGTAAAGCAGGCCTGGTGGTAATAAAATCTCTGAGTACTTGCTTGTTCATAAAAGATTTTATTTTTCCTTCAATTATGAAGCTTAGTTTGGCAGGATATGAGATTCTAGGCTGAAAGTTCTGTTCTTTAAGTAAGAGAGATCCAAGATGGCTGATCGCTAACAGCTCCCAGTGAAAGCTCAGAGAACGAGAGGAGGCCACACTTTCAGGCAAATTTTCGTCGCTCATGGACCAGCAGATTTCTAGTGGAGGAGCCCCATGGGTGGCCAGCGCGACTCTTGTGGCTGGGACAGCGGTTTTGCCGGCGCCTTGGCGCGGCAGCTCTTCATGCAGAGTAAACGGGACTGGTTCCCTTATTGACCAGTGTTTGGAGCTCCAGGAAGGCAGAGCCGCTTGTTGTGGACTCAAGAAGGAAGCCAGACCAGAGATTCCCAGGCAGAAGAGCACCATCAGTCTTATCACTGCTATTGTGGCTGGCGCAGTGGGTTGCTCGGATCCCAGCACTGGGAATCAATAAATTGGACATCCACTCAGAAACCTAATTAGAAAGGTGGTAATTGTAAAGACAACAGATGGATAAATTTATAATAAAGGGAAAAAAACAGCCTAAGAAGGCCGAGCATACCCAAAATCAGAACCCCTCTCCCTCTACAGGGGATTGCAGTTCCTCATCAGCAACGGAACAAGCCCTGATGGAAAAGGACTGTGTTCCATTATCTGAAGTAGGCTTCAGAAGGTGGATGATAAGAAACTTCTGGGAATTAAAAGAACTTGTTCTAACCCAATGTAAAGAAACTAAGAACTTTGAAAAAAGGTTTGACGAAATGCTGAAAAGAATAGACAATATAGAGAGGAATATAAATGAACTAATGGAGTTGAAAAATACAACACGAGAACTTAGTGAAATATGCATAAGTTTAAATAGCAGAATGGATCAAGCAGAAGAAAGGATATCAGAGGTCTCGAAGACCAGCTTAATGAAATAAAACGACAAGACAAGAATAGAAAAAAAAGGATGAAAAGGAATGAGCAAAGTCTCCAAGAAATGTGGGACTATGTGAAAAGACCCAATCTATGTTCGATTGGTGTACCTGAAAGTGATGGAGAGAATGAATCCAAGCTGGAAAATACTTTTCAGGATATTATCCAGGAAAATTTTCCCAATCTAGCAAAGCAGGACACTATTCAACCCCAGATAATACAGAGAACACCAAAAGATCTTCCTCAAGATGAGCAACCCCAAGGCACATAATCGTCAGATTCACCAGGATCGATACAAAGGAGAAAATACTAAGGGCAGCCAGAGAGAAAGGCCAGGTTACCCATAAAGGGAAGCCTATTAGACTTACAGCAGATCTCTCAGCGGAAACCCTACAAGCCATAATTTTTTTTTCATTAAGTTTTATTTTAAGTTCCAGGGTACATGTGTAGTAAGTGCAGGTTTGTTACATAGGTAAGTATGTGCCATGGTGATTTGCTGCACAGATCAGCCCGTCAACCTAGGTATTAAGCTCAGCATCCATTAGCTATTATTCCTGAGGCTCTCCCTCCTCACACGCCCCTGACAGGCCCCAGTGTGTTGTTCCCCCCACTCCCTATATGTTCATATGTTC